CATGATGATACTATATGGTTAAAACTCTCTTGAAATGCACAACTGGCTCTTGCATTCCTACATTGCCTTATCTGACAGCATAGCTCCAGACATTTTCTCAGGAAACTGGCCCGTCTCTGATAAGATTAATTCCCATGAGCCAGTCCAAACAGGCTTTTGGCTTGAGCCTCCACACCAAGAACATCATCCAAAACAGGGCAGATTAAAATTCACAAGCCTGCAAACATATGCTGACATAACCTTCCAAGTCAGACAGGCTTTTATTGGACACATTCAAGTGGCACACACAAGCCCAAACATAATTTTAAAATAAAAATGTGCCGATAAATTAGATAATTAAGCTGTTTTTCCAAGTCTCTTATTTATTGTGAACGGCCAAACATCTCCCATCCTCCATATACGCTAGATGAGTATGCACTGATTTCCAAGCATCAATCTAATACCCGAATAAGCTCTAGTGTTAAATGAACTGCAGAACACAACAGTCATGAGGCCTGCTGATGAAAATACCACTTTATAAGCAAGTAGTCACACCAAGTTCTCTATGACTCATAAAAACACATCTAGGGTTATTACAGATCTGACTTCACTGAAGCATAATTATGTTTTTTGACGAACATGTCTGACTTCTTACTATAGAAATGTAACCATGGAAACTGAGTGAATGTGTGTTTGAGGGGCAATGAGTGTCCAGCTTCCCATGGTGAGAGCTGAGGCATGCTGGGTAGTGGATTTTGTTCTGACATTGGAACTTCCCACACGTTCTTCTAGCTCAAACTTCTTCTAGAAACAACAGCATATTTAGCACTAACGCATATGGGTAAAGCATTTTTTAATGAAAACTGGGCACGCACAAATTGAGTAGATTAATTTGATGCCATATGCGATGTGGAGCAGGGACGTGCACAGACATTTTGAGGGGCAGGGGCTCAAGTGAAAAAAAGGGCACTTCTCATAATTACGTATTTTTTAAAAAAAACTTTTTTTAAACAAAAAAGTATATATATTAACTCAACTCTGACTTTAAAAAAAAATAATTAAAAAAGTTAATTAATTTTATCTTCCTCAAACTCACACAATTGTTTCACGCATGACTGTATCATCATCATCAAATAAAACCTTCAAAATTCACAATTAGATGGAGTTTGTTTTAAACCTACTATCCTCCATCTGTTTGCATCTGTAGCAGGGGTGTCACTAGGACTTTCATTTTAGGGGGGCTAAGCCCCCAATGAGGGTATATATATATATATTTTTTTTAAATAAAAAAAAGGTAACACTAGTTTAGGATCTAATGCTCACTATTAATCAGTTTCATTACCATGCAAAGTCAGGGTTTTATAATCACTGTGGTCCCAAATGTGAAGTACGGAAGAGGGTTCGGTGTTTCCCCGAGAAAATTTTGATTTCTCTGATCTATGTGCATTTTAAGATGTTTTGAAGGCCAAAAAAATTGGATAACAGCTTTAAAACCATGTCAGTGGGCAGCTGATTATTTTTCTCTCCTCAGCATCATCACACTCTTTTTCTCTTTGTTTTTATCTTGCCCTGTCTCTTCCCCTACTAAAGCTGAGCTTTGACTGATATAGGCTTTTCATTTTTTGTCTGTAATTGAAGAAAGTAAACATAGGGTCAACTGGTTGATTTTGCCTATGAATCATTTTCTCAGACGCGTTTATTTACTGAAAGCTACTAAAGGTAATTAAGTTAATTAAATGCATTCACAATATGTAGGCTACACATTCATTATTGATCTTATGCCTAATACAGGGCCGTAGACAGGGCTTTATAATCAAAGAGGTCCTAAATTTGAGGTGGGTAGGGGGTTCAAATTTTTTATTTGTCTGATATGTGCATTTCAAGACGTTTGAAGACCAAAAAAGGGATAAGAAATAGCTTTAAAACCATGTCAGTGGGCAGTAGATTATTTGTCAATACCTGCTCTCTTCTCATCTCCATCACTCTTTCTTTTTTTCTCAGTCTCTTCATCACTTTCTCTTCCCCTCCTAAAGCTGAGCTTTTTTTTAATTTACCAAAGGCTACAATTTGTATTATATTCTCAATATGTACACATTCATTATTAATCTTGTGCCGAACATGATGAAAACGGCTTTGTTAATGTGTCTTGTCACCTCACAATGACAGTAAACTAATTATTACATTAGTCACGTTACATAGGCCTATTTTCAGTTCAAAATGGAGAAATTAGACAAAACTATATTAGTTTGCCTGATTATTTTTAGTCATTCGTTTAACATTTACGACCTAAAAAAAAAGTCAAATATGAAATGATAAGTTTAGCTACTTACTTATCTCGCACTTGACCGTCCGCGTCGAGTTGCACTGTTAAAATGGTTAAAAAATTCGCGCGCAGCAGCGTCTGTGAACATAAAGCCCGCCTACTTTGATTTGATAGGTCATCTCAAATATTCTGACATTGACGAGCAGTGACAGACCAATGAGGCTCAGATGAACACACACACCCTGTCCTCTGTTTCTGAAGTGCTCTCTGCTCTGCGCCGCTGCGGAATGAAGATGAAGAACGCGCTGAATCTGATAATAACAAGACTGAAGCGAACACGAATTTGTGTAGCCTAAATTAATCACAAATTTTTAGGGGGGCTAGGCAGAAGTTGGGCCTAGCGACGAACAACAATAATATATAATATTTTTAAAAAAAATTTAAAAAGCACCTCAGAAAAAAGGGCACTTTCTCTCCAGGAATAAAAAGGGCAGGTGCTCAAGCCCCCTTTGATGTCTATGTGTGCACGTGCCTGATGTGGAGTGCTATACTGTGTCATATAGAGAGAAAGATCACAAGAGTCAGTGCTGCCACCTAGTGTACAATAATAAACCTGCATGCATCTTGACATGTTAAGCTGTTAAATACAGGAGTGTGTATAGCCTACTGTATTTGCTTTAACTGGTCAATGAGTCAGCCCTGTTTACACCTGGTATTAAGGTGCGTTTTGGTCGATCAGATCGCAAGTAGATGAGGGAGACACATACCTGTTTACACCTGGTGTTTGTTTTAATCTGTCTCTTTTGTCCACTTTCAAACACTTCTGTTCTGATTTCTTCGAAGTGGAGGGTCTACCGTCTATGGGCGGGTAAATGTATGGCCTTTTTCAGATCTTTCGATCTAATGGACAAAATAAGCTCCGGTCGTGTACCCTAATTTACATATGAACGCGCACGGAGACAACGAAAAAACATAGAGAGCAGCAGCTTTCGTTTCTGCTCTGACAGCCGCAAGACCCCACCAAATGTAGTGAGTGGGTATTAGACATCACATCAGGAATAGTGAGAGAACATTGTGCTTACGTTTTTCGTCTTCAAACCAAACTTGGGTCTCCACTCTCCGACAAAGTTTAAATCCCGTTTGACTAGCGCGCTTCCATAATGTTTACGCATTGGGTCAGGTGGAGAGTGTCTCTTGCAGCTGTTGGAAACACATTCGACCACATCGTTTATAGAAAGCGATCCAGTTGAATGCATTTTCGACTACCTCTGGAAGTGGTCGAAAGTGGACAAGCTCAAAACGTTTTAGACCCTATTTACACTTGTATTTAGCGTTGTCCACTTCTGATCCGATCGACCAAAAGTAAACAGGGCCTATTTATCATATATGGGCAATGTTTCAATGTGATGAAAATAGTAAGCCAGTCTGTATTTGTGTTTAGTAAGTTGCTTATAATGAAAAGTTTTATGTAAGGTAAGCTCATTTTTGACTTGGTTTCAATGTTGGTATGCCTAACGTAACGACTATATAGCAGCCTATGATATTTAACCAGCCAGAGAGAGCAAGTTTTCAGAGAGGCACAACTACAAAGTTTGCTCTCTCTCAGGTGAGGTTGCTGGCACATTTTGTGGAAGAATTGCATAGTGGAACTCCAGAGGTGGGAAAATGCAGCCTCATCACATTTCCCCGCTCTGCTAGAGAAGATGCGACTAATTAAACTGACTCCAGATCAGTCACCGTGACAAAACGTCTCAGGTGGGCTGACCCAGTTTTCCTTCCAGCAAGTACACACTATTATACACATGAGGGAAACCCCATCAACAAACAATCACACAAACACAATGTTGTAGGCCTAAGAATCCCAGATCACACTACCATGGACGTAAAACAGCTCTTTTACTATTTTATGCTAGGTCACTTAATGTGCACATAGCTGCAAAAAACAAAAATGTTGTCAGAAGTAACATGTTTTTTTTTAGTTTTTTTTTTTACACTTTTTGAATGTTGAATGCATAGTTTTATACTAACTCACAAGCTGGAAGATTCACGTTCACAACATTACATTTCTTTAGTGTCTATCAATGAGCATCTCATTATTTTAATCAAATAGTTTCATTAACAGACTAAAGACAGTTGTGGATCACAAGTTGGACTGGTTTAAGTGGGTGGAGTTTCTTATAACATGAACAATAGCTGATGAGAAACATGATAACCCCATTCCGATCATTCTTAAACCTGTTTCTCTTGTATTTTGAAACTTTCAGTATTTTGTGTATCTATCTGTGTATTTTCTTAATAGGCCATTTATCTTCTGCTTATTGAAATGCACTTATTTTATGCAGTTCCATTCATTTGATACCTCTATCAGTCAGTAAGTAAGTAGGTGAACTGATTTGAAGAAAAACAGAATGCCTCACATTAAACGTATAATAAAAAAGAACAAAAATGTTTTGAAGAAAGTCAAAAGTTTTATTTTCAAATAGTTGTCAGTGTGAACCTACATAGGTTGAAGATAGTCCTCATATTGCACTTTATAATCCCGTCATACAACTCAAATGTGCTTCTACACTTAGATTGCACAATAGATTGCACTAAATAACATTAATAAGACTGTAACATGAACACGATATAAATGTTTTCCCCATAAGACAATCTTGAACAGACTGGAACTTAAAAGTAGGAATAAGGAACAGAACTAAACCACAATAGCATTTGTCCCTTGACGACTAATAAAGGTATCTGAATCTGAATCGGAACAGAATCTGGATCCTCAGGGTGCACGAACCCAAACTTCATTGTGCCTGTTGATCAAATCCCACGGTGCGTCATAGCCAGCTGCATCAAACCTGTTTTCAATAAATTCCTTTCCTGCAGCCCTGAGGTCGTCTTTGAGCTGCTGCACATTCTCTAAGGCGTCTTGATCAGAAGCCAAACCACTAAACGACCTGTAATGCCCAGCAATGAGAGAATGTTTAAATGAGAAACAGTAAATTAACAGTTTTTGACTGTCGTTCTTTACTGAAATCACTAACCTGACATAGACAGTACCGCCTGGTACAACAGTTTTTCTGATGGTCGTATCGTTGGGTTCAGGGATGTCTGAGTCAGATTGAAAGACGGAAATGGACACCTGTCTCTCCCCCATTCCATCAGCTTCCTTCACCGACACCAGCACAGGCCTGGTCATAGCAATCTCCTTACCTGAGAAGTCAAATTACAGTCAAAATAAGATGAGTGAAAATTAACAATGGCTTATTTTCTCCATCAAAACCATGAAGCTTACTTACTCTCACTGTTTTGTCCTTGATTAAAATAATACAGTTTCCAAAATCCATCCTTTATATCACTCTGGCTGGTACTCGCAATATCAGTGGCAATCCAATAGCTCACGTCGTAGCTGCGCTCCTCAAATCCCTTTTTGTTTTATCAACACAATGATACAACATTTTTACATATAATAAACCAAATTTAAAATATTGCAAACTAGAAAAACAAAAGTCATAGGCCTACCTGATATTCCTTTACCAGGGTGTACATGGGACACTCATATCCATGACAAAACCAGGGTGCTTCCCAACATTCTGTATATGGGAGGCATATAAGTCCAAACAGGAGACACAGAGCTGAAGGTAGAGTCCTCGCCATTGCACTGCAAGATGACAAATATTGTCACAGGCTGTTTGTGTACTGTGCTCTAGTGTCATCAAATAGACACACCCTCAACATTTCATGGAATTCTCCCTCCCCACTAAACTACCATCTAGATAGAATGACACCAAGGAAACAACTGACCTGCTCTTCCATGAAAAACAATGAGGAAAGAACAGTAGATATTTCCCCATGCATTTACAAAGAAAGGGGGCACAACAAATGATATAAACTCACCAGAAAAGCATTAAAGCACAATGACAGATTAAGTGAATAATGACAAACTCAGCAGCATTGTGTCCTTAAGCAAGGCACTTCATCACTAGTAACTTCAGTAATAAGCGTACTGTAAATTGCTTTGAATAAAAGTGTCAGTTAAATGACTAGAAATGAGTAATTATTGAATTGACTAAACTGGCAAAGTTAGGGCTTGCTTAATAGTGTCAGCTGGAATCACCAGAGGCATACAAACGAAGGGGAAAAAAGTGGAACGTTTCCTCATAAATAATTAGCCTCTTTAATTCAAATTAAAAGTGGTAGGATGAAAAGCAGCTCAACCGGTGCGAGCCTTAATTCACTTGAAAGTGATCCATGCAGAGTTCTTCTAGCACTAATCATAAAACAAAAGCAGAATCATAAAGAAAATAGCTCAGCACATTTAAGACCACGTATCCCTCCATAAATGTATCAGTTTAAGGTTGTTAATCATAAGCTTTAATAAAATTAAATGGTGGCTGCGGCTCAGGTGATATGTCTAAATCTCTTTCATTTTCACTGTTAGATGAAGCTTTACAAGAAATAGATGTTCAAAATGTGCAATTTATTAACCGGGTTATAAAAGTTTGCGGTATAATAAGGCATCAGAAATTGCCCTTACATAGACACCTATCTTTCCAGAACCAATTCATCTGAACAATTTAAGATGTCCTTTTGATCCACCTCTCCGTTTTTATATATCAAATAATTGCTTATAATGACTATTAATAATAATAATTAATTAAGATAAATATATATTTTTAATCACAGTCTTTAGGACCATCAAACCAGACTGATATTTATTTTAAACGTATTATTATTATTATGCTAAATTTGCAAATCTAAACTATGACTTTAAATGGTCAACTTGATGTGGACTTGAATTATCACCACCTGGTGGCGCCCAATAACAAAAAGTTAGTTGTCTCCAAGAGAAGGGGGCGTGTAACGGAACAGAGAGAGAGAGAGAGAGAGAGAGAGAGAGAGAGAGAGAGAGAGAGAGAGAGAGAGAGAGAGAGAGAGAGAGAGAGAGAGAGAGAGAGAGAGAGAGAGAGAGAGAGAGAGAGAGAGAGAGAGAGAGAGAAATCACAACTCAGTCAGTCGAGCAATTTGAGAGGCTGCTGTCACGCACCCCGAGCACAAGCGACCGGCCGTGCGTCTTCCTCATGCGCTCGGACAGAAGGCACGGGTTCAGCACTGCACTGGGCTTGACAGGATGCTGACGGACAGATGGAAACATAGAGACAGAGGGTCCACCCGTACAGCAAGTGCATAAAGGGGAGAAGTATTTCCGGCACTTTAGGGCTGCATCCCTGGCTTCAGAGGGGACAGCATGGGCAGAACAGTTATTCTTAAAATGGTAGTCACAAAAATTCGATACTAACAAGGGGGAATTCGCGGAAAAGTACCAACGAAGGATTTGATCTGCTTTTCGGTGATTTGTTTTACAGCCTTGCACTTCGATAAGTTGCTCGGGAGAATGGAAAAGCCCATCCAGCCTCAGCTGCAGTCGAGCATATCTAAGAGCGCAGAAGGTCCCTCAGAGGATCTCTCCAAACTCACGGACGAGGAGCTTCTGAAATGGAGCAAGGAGGAGCTGGTTCGCCGGCTGCGCAGATCCGAAACCGAGAAGATGAGCGTTATAGTGGACCACAGCAATCTCATCCGAGAGGTGAACCGCAGGCTTCAGCAGCACCTCAACGAGATACGAGGGCTGAAGGTAAGGCGAGCCTGCATCTTATGTCGACTAAATAAATAAATAAATAAATAAAAGCCACATCGTTTTGGTACTAATCAAACAAAAGGTAGTTTTATTTTAATTATTTATTTAAAAAAAAAAAAATTGTGTAAAAATAATATTTTTAAAAAAAGCGTCAATCTTACACGTTTACACATGGCCTGTTTACACAAGCATGTTGTGCAGCTTTAAATATTTTTTTCTTCTTCTAAGATTCAGCTCCTGGCACATGCATTCTCTGTGATTGGCATACAGGTCCACCGGGGTAAAATGCCTCTTACATGTAATGTTCTCATAGAAGAACATTATGCTACATGGCAACAAAACCACTACAGTAATATATCTGTAGTATATAAATAAAAATAAAGTAAGAATATTTTGTACACAGATGTGTAAAGTAGGCCCATATTGACAGCTCAAGTCACAACAGTATATATATTAAATATACATGAACGCCAGCGTTGTTTAACTTCACTTTCACCAGTCTAACTTGCTCTGCTTAGACATCAGTGTTGAGTCATAGATTTTTTTTTTTTCAGGAGGTGAATCAGAAGCTTCAAGAGGACAACCAGGAGCTGCGGGACCTCTGCTGCTTTCTGGATGATGACCGGCAGAAAGGAAAGAAGGTGTCGAGGGAGTGGCAACGCTTGGGCCGCTACAGCGCAGGGATCATGCGTAAGGAGGTGACACTGTACCTGCAGAAGCTGAAAGAGCTGGAGCAGAGGCAGGAGGAAGTAGTGAGGGAGAACCTTGAACTGAGAGAGCTGTGCCTTATGCTGGACGAGGAGAAGGGCTCTGGGGTTACTGGCAGGTCAGCAGGTACCGGGGGACCAGCCGGCTGCAGGAATTCAATCGATAGCCAGAGCAGCCTGTCTCACGCCAGCGGTCCTGGGCCTGGCCTACTAAGAGATGTGGGTGACGGGAGCAGTACCTCCAGCGCGGGCAGCACCGACAGCCCTGACCATCTCACACATAAGCAGCAGCTGTTGGGTGGCCCGGTTGGAGGCAGTCCTGACCACCTACATAAGCCAGGCTCAGGGGAGGAGGCACCGGGTCCTGAGCATACAAGCCGCAGACATAGCACCAGCCAGGAGTACGCAGCACACACCTATCCCCAAGTGTGCCGGTCTCGCTGTGGGTCCTTCTCCAGTCCGGATCATAAGGGCCTACGGGGTTTCAGTCCAGAGAAACTTGGCAAGAGCCTGTCGAGAGGCAGTCCAGAGCAGTTCTCGAAACACTTGCTGGTGTCTTCTCAGCCGCCTGGCAGCCCAGACCTTTTTCAGAAGCACAGGGCTAGCATGGGAAGTATGTGTGGGAGTCCAGAGCCCAAACAGATTCTATCAGGGACACCGGAGCACCTACAGAAGGGACGCGTCATATCTGGGAGCCCAGAGTTGTCGAGGCATCAGCACAGCAAGTTCGGCAGCCCCGGCCGAGAGGTGGCACAGAAGAGGCCGGGCGTGGAGGAGATGTCCCCTCATCACCGGAGCATCTATAGCGGTATGAACGGTGGGTCCGACTGGAGCCTGCTCTAGCACCCACAGAGAGATATGGAGTGCCATTTGAATGCACACGCAGAGGGGATGGTCATTCTTCATTCTGGAGCACGCAAAGCCCCAATTCCCAGCCAGGCACTAAACCATCCCATTCAGCCAGCCATGATCTGCATTTAGTCTAGTTTTACTTTGCTCAGTTCAGGAAAGGCAATGGCCAGATAGAACGGGGGCTTTAGTGTCTGGCTAGAGCAGAACATCTCATCTCTGGTAAAGGTCGGTGGTGTCCAGTCTTGGTCCTCTCGGGCCATGATTTTAACAGGCTTTAGCTACCTCCTATCAATCAGCCTCTGTACCTGTGCCTCCGAAGCCATTTTTTATGCTCTGGAACCCAGCTGAGGGAACACTGTAATCAATCAATCAAAGACCAAAATACTCAGAGGCCCAACAAAAGCCAGAAGACACTGCTGCCCAGCAGGACCAGGAGTGGACACCATTGTACTTGCCATATGCACGCAGGTGAGTGGAGTGGCATAGTGTATGAGTCAGCAGCACTTGAGAAGGAGCAGTGTTGAGGAAAGGCCCATTGTTTTTATGTTACCATGAGTACATCTATCTTTTTAAATTTTATTTTATCAACTATAAAGTATTTTAGTTTCAATTTGCTTTAATTCTACTTTCTTGCATCCAGATTCGAATTGCAATTCTGCATCCTGTTTGCAATCTTAATTCAAATTCAGGATTTGAATTGCGATTTTAAATGCATTCTCAATTAAATTCTGAATGGTGCCCACCATGGTGCTTAAGCTGAATGCTGCAACCCACAAATGCTCTTGAATTACACACACACACACACACACACACACGTACATCTTACTCGCCCAGAATACAGTTTTTCATCTCCGACAGTAAGTTTTATACAGCTACATGCACCCAGCGGAAGGCTCATAAACACCACATATTCTTACACACACACACACACACTCACACACACACACACAACATGCTGCTGGTACAGATCTCAGCTGGCTCTCGTCACTCTTGTTCATTTTTGTAGCATCAACTTGGTGATGTTGCTTGTAGATTCTGTTGGATTTTTTTTCGAGTTCTGAAAATTCAAAATTTGTATGCAGTATGTGAACAGTGAAGTCTGTTTTACAGAAAAAAATATGCACTTGGCAGGTATTTTTATATACCTGTTATTCAAAACATAAATTTGATCATTTCATGCAGTCCTTGAGAATCCAACCCATGGTGTTGGTGCCGTTAGTAGCTATCCATCCACCTATTTTAAAGCGCATTTTGGCATATCGCATAAAAAAACGCTGGAGGGAAATGCCAAGATGTGCATAAATTCTAAAAATGCAAATAAAAAATGTATGCACTTAATCATTTTTTTATGCGATTCGAAAACATGCGCATAACCTACGATGGCAACAATTTTACAGAATAAATTCCTTGATGGGCATCAAAAAAGACATGCGATGAGACGGCATAACTGGACCAACCAGCAGATCGATCTCGTTGCACAGCTTCTAAAATGCTGTTTTGATCATTCTGTAATGCTTGAGTAAAGTCTGTTGTTAAAGTGGTTTGGTATAATTCCATCCCAGAAACGCCTCACACGATTGCATTCACAAACACCAGGCATCTGAATGCAAGTTAACATGACAGCATTTATTTAATTTGCGCACTCTGAGCCATAAGTAATATGAAAATTATTATATACAGTGGCTTAGTCATATTTATCAGAAATTGACTATTTTGTTCTCTTCGGCTCGCTGGATGGAAACAGTGCTTTATTCGCAAATGTTTTATGCGATATTCCAAATTTGTGCACAAGTTAAATTCGTAACTTTGGATAGAAACATACCTAGTGTCTTGCTTTTCTGTTTGAGCTACCTTATGCTATTTGAAGTTATTGCATCCCATTAGAATTACACTTTACTACATTACTGAGATACAAAGAAAAAATGTTGTGAATCCTCATGGTGTGAATTATAAATTTAATACGAATTTGCATTAAATAGATAGTTGATAGCTTTGTGAGCAGATGCTGATATATCACAAAAGCTGCAGTGTACATTATTGGAGGACAAACCATGTGAATGTGTGCAGAATAAAAGAGGGGAATATCAAACTCTCCTCCTGATGTGTAGCATTCTCTCCAACTATATTCTGCTAATGATTTCTTGGAGGAGAAGTGCTGAGCTGTGCAGCTTGCCAAGGCCATGGGACACTACCTGAAGCTGTTTGCTGTTTACCTTGCACTGCATTTAATAGGAAAATAACAGCTGCTAAATTAACACCTGAGTTCACTGACCTAAATGGATGCTCTGAGGATCTCAAACTAGAAACAGCACTGCTATTCTCACGAAGGATGGTTCGGAATGTGACATTTTGATTTATAGATTGTACAAAAGCTTGGCAATAGAATTATTTAAGTATCCTGCCTGGCAGATGGATGGTTGATTTATTTTTAGAAGCTACATTTACCTTATTTCCTGTGGTTTGTTTCCACTCTGAGCGCACAAAGGCCTTGTATACAAGCTTGGTACCAGACAGCCTGTACTGAGATCCATCCTGCTGCTGATTTACCTCTTTTGACACCACCAGCTAACAGAGAGAGAATAAGCTATTGTATTATCTCTCTTTCTCTTTCTCTTTTCTTGTGCTCTTTGGTTATTTCTTCAGACCAAAACTCTCTTTTCCTAATAATGCAGATCCAATTAAATTTTTCCACTGATGCTCTGGGTTGGTAACCTGGCCCTAGCCAGATGAATTTCGCTCCGCCTAGCTTCACTCATCCATCTGGAACCGATCCATTGAAATGGCGTTTCAGAAGGCTGGGCCTTATCAAAAATCCTTGCATATGATTGGATAAGCCACTTGTCTGTCATCTTTATCGACGTGCTATTTCAACCACTCACACCGAAGCCAACCCGTGACGCTGAAGAATCCGGTCGGGAGAAGGCACTGATCTATATATAACATCGTTTCCACCAACAAAAGCCTTAAGAGCCGTTCTCTGATGTTCTTTTAATGAAACAATATTAGGTAGATTGGACAACACGGATGAAATAGCAGCATCAATGTTAACGCTTGTTTCCTCGATGCGAGCCGCCATTGTTGTCTGAATCAAAACAGTCTCACGGTCGCTTCTCCACTACGTCACATCTATGAAACTCCCGCCCTGCGTCCTGATTGGCTAAACCATAAAGTTGGTTGGGGAAATCACTCTCAATGGAAGAGGTTCCAGATGGATGTGAGTGAAGCTAGGCGGAGCGAAATTCATCTGGCTAGGGCCAGGTTACTGGGTTGGTGCATATCCTCAGTTTTGCTTACTGGTCCAGATCCTTTAGAACTTGCATTTCAGTAGAGATCCCCAGTGTGTCTAATTAGTCCTAAATACACATTTAAAAAAAGTATTTGGTTAATGAATAAAAAAAATAAAATAATTGACACTCTTCATGGAGCTGTGTTCTTTACCAAAACCACATGCTCACATTGTGAGCAGGGAATTACAGTTTATCCCTGTTGGCCGTGGCCAGTCAGCCTGGATTATCCCTTAAGAAGGTTTTGACGGTCAGATTTCTCTTTTTCTCCCCCTTGCTGGGGTGCGTCCTGCAGTCAACAGTAACTCTGATGTTTTTGGCTTTGACTGAACCAGCCTCTCTAGTTGACATGAGGTGGTCCGTATCTACATTCAGAGAGGTTCTGGTGTAGGCCACTTGTTGGCATCATGATATTCAGTGAATTACACAACAAATCTAATTTAAAATAGGTTTGTGAATGTTTAAAAAGCATATTTTATTTCTCCTGGTGCAGTTCAAACCCAGTGCAGCATAAAAAGCTGCCATTCTGTTTTCAGATTTATGAAGGAAAGGAAACTCTTTTCATGTATATTCAAAGTCTGGTTTGTCATTCTGTCAAGAGTTGGGATAAAAGCAGAAATGAAACAATGTTATCTCCCTTTGGTTAATTTCTAATGATTTTTTGATTACTAGACATATTAAATTGGTATCAGTAACATAACAGCTGCAAGCATTCTGATTTAAGAGTTTAAAAAGAAACTTTAGGTGTTCTGTGAAGGACTAAGTTATTTGCTTTTAAATGCCTAAAAATTGAAAACTTAGAACTTCAAGCAAAGTATTCAGGTTTTAACACTTGCAGCAGCAGCACTTTGATAGTTGCTTGACAAATAATAAAATCTCATAAGAACCATAATTGCCTTTTTATTTATAAACTTACAGAAGTTACTTTAATTTCAGAGAAAGTTACAAACAAGGTTCATGCATAGTGGTCACTACAGTGGACAGCTATTAAAAAAGCATTTTCTTGAATTTGCAAGGGTTTTGATGGCAAAGTTGCACATCAATCTCTTCAGTGGACCCTGATGCATCATCCTATACATTGCAACCAAGTTGCAAGCCGTTGTGTTTCGGGTTTTCCCCCCTCCAAACCAAGATGGCCAATGGTCAGTCAGACATGCCAAGTTGCTCCGGAATATCCACCCATTCCTTCTATAGGAGACTCTTGTAGGTAAAAAAAAATATTGCAGCATCAAGCAATATCTAATGAGTCATATGACAGTAAAATTTTCCAAGTTTTGATTTTAGATTGGGAGAAAAATCTGATTAATAATCTGTCCACTATAGTGGACCTCATGCATCAATGGCTATATTTCAGCTACAATTCATACTTATACTGTGAATATTGTTTTTGAAAATACTTAATCTGCAGTGACGTTTTTTTTACTGTAAATAAATGTATTTGTATTATTAGAATGTTAATTTCCTTGACATCGAAAAAAGTTATGTGATTACATAATTTATGTGACTTATGTATTCATTTCATCAAAAAGTAATCTAATTATGTAATGCATTACTTGTTAGATCAAAAAGTTATCTGTTTACGCAATGAATGTTGCTTGTAATGCATTTATTTACTCGTAACATCAAAAAGTAATCTGATTACGTAATGCATGTTACTTGTAATGCATTACTTTACTTGTTAGTAGGGGTGTGACGAGATCTCGTGCCACGAGATCTCGCGAGACTAAATATGACGAGATTTCTCGTCGAGTGAAAAAGCTGTCTCGCGATATCCCCATTAATATTCCACCGCTACACTCACATTCGCCTAAACTATCGTTTTGTTGTTTTTATAAAAAAATAAAAACCATTATAAACTAATGCAAAAGTCTGCTCTGCTCATCCAGCGCGAGTTGCCGTTGCAATCAGTGCAGCACGAATCACAGTTCACTGATCGCGTGACGATGGCGGAGGATTCGTTGCGCAACAGACTAAACGTCTGGTAAATGTCTTATCATTTAGAATGCGCGCTCAGCACCGCTGCTCCCTATACGCGCGGTCACGAATTTGTAAGTGAAAGTAAAACACAAGCTCCCTGATGTGCATTGCGCACAAATTAGGCTGCATACATAAAATAATCCGTCTCCCAATACCCATCTCTGGACTGTTTATTTGCGGCTCTGGTCTCTGTTGGCACTGCGAATA